TTAGGGTCTTTATATATGTGTAGAGATAGGGTTTCAGTCATTATCCTTATCTAGTTGCTTATCCACAAAGCAACCCATAAGATAATCCTTGAATCCTTATCATAGTCGAATTCTAAGGCCTTATCACCTCAAATTCGTTCACCCTATATTTAAGATAATCCTTACCTTATTTTGTAACTATCACATAATTATAAATCAGCCCCTCTAGTTTAATTAATTACACTTGATCACAAAATTAATTCCTAATTAATTATTGACCAATATTAATTAAACAAATATGATTTCTCCTTTAATATATTATTCTTATAACATATTAATAAATCATATTATCCTCTCTCTCTATATATTTCTCCAATCAAGTTGCTTTGGTGAAGGCAACCCAAAAGGACCATGCACCATCGGGTCAAGTATATACCAAAATAGTTATGGACTTAGACACTAATCCAACAGTTAGCTCCCTATGTGAGTCGCTATAACCATATTATGACTAGAGGTAACCTACACAACGTCTTTTAGACGACCTGATCCTATGACTCTTGTCACCCGCAGACCTGCCGGTCCAGCTGTAGCTAGTAGCGAGGTGTGGGATGTCAACCCCAATATAGATCTATACACAATTATCACGCTCTCCCTACAAGAGAGTTTGGTTATAACTTACAGGAATTGGGATCCCGTACTCGGATGTACGAGGAGAGATAGTCTCACATTATGAGTTAACGAGTTTACGTGTAGTGTGCGTGAGTGTAGAACCTTTTTGTATGAATGTACCCTTTTTGTACGAGTGTGTTATGTGATGAATCATAAACTATACCTATTATAGTTTATCCAAAACGTTTGTAGTGTATAAGAACTCATTTATGAAACTGCAATCGTGTTATGAATCCATAAACTATGCTTATTATAGCTTAATATACGTGATCTAAATGAATGAATAATCTTATAATGAGTGACTAAGTTCAGTTTATGATGATAAACTAACAAGGAAACACATTCAATATTTAGAACTTATTGTTATACACTTTGCTCAACATAATACAAAGTGTTATGAAATTTATATGTTGTTAACTAACTTTAACCCTTCTGCGCTGTTTTAGAAAAGTCATAGAAAAATCATACGAAGTCAAAAACTAGATCCGTAAATTCAGAGAGTTCCCAAAATGTGTCTAGTTTAATCATAATTTTTATCATAATTTCTAATGACCTCCAACTTGGGTGAAAAAGTCCATAATCACAGGCTGGTCCGGTTTGGTGTTTGAAATGATAGGCAGTTTTGTAAAAATCACCATAAATTGTAGAAAAAATCGTATGGAGATGTGCAAGTGGTCATTTTAAATCTAAGAACTTGAACTACTTGCACCTTGTACAGTTTTGAAAACAAAAATGTTTAAGTTTCCCAAAACAGTTCGTGAACGGAGTTGAACTTTTCTGATGAAGGCTGTTAGAAAAGTTAAGTTATGTTCTTGGTGTTTTAACTTGTACTCCCCCCTGAAAACTTGAGAAAACATGAAAATGTAGGGGTATGAACTCACCTTGAGTGATTTTAGTGGATGAATGTTGGATTAGGGAAGTGTTCAACTCAAGAACACTTGAAGATGCCTTGAAGATTTTCGAGAATCTAGCACCAAAATGATGTAATTTGTGTAAGCAATCTATGATTGGAGTATAAGGAGGTGAAATAATCATAGAGAGGATGAATTATACTTACCAAGAGTGTGAGAAAGCTTGATAATCAGCCTTGAATCTCAAATTTGATAGAGAAAGTTTGAGAGAAAAGTGGAGTTGGATACTTGGTGAAATGAGAGCAAATGAGAGAAGTGAGGAGAGAGGATGGATATTCCATCTCTTAGAACGTGGGAAATGGCTGGAAATAATGAGAAATGACTTATGAAGTGACTAGGGATGGGATGATGGTGAATAGTGACATGGAGTGGGTATGGGAGTGGTTGCTTGTGTCATAAGGTAAAACAAAGTCAACACTCCACCTCAATTATTCACCCACTAGATTTTATTATTTAAATAAGGATTTCCATGAAAATATGTTTAAATTATGAATATTTAGTGTCTTTTATATAAAAATATAATTTCTGGAGAAAATCTTGCGTTAAAATCACGAAAAACGGGCTCAAAATGCTAAAAATATAAAAATTTGGTGAAAAGTGTTGCATTTTCGAAGTCTGGCCGAGGTTCGGTCCTCTGGTGCAAAGAACCGAGAGGGGAGAAAGAAGGACCGAGAGAGGGAAGGGAAGGACCGAGAGGCGAGAGGAGAGACCGAGAGTGCGAAGAAGAGGGAACCGAGAGGAGAGACTCGGTCTTCGCGAGTTTCGGCCCGAGAGGCTTCTCTTCTCAGTTTCGGGCCGAGAGGCTTCTCTTCTCAGATTCGGCTGCTGAGTGCTTCGGTTCCTTGAGAGGGGTTTCGGCTCCTTAAGTCCATTTTTCTCGTTTTTACCCCGTTTCAAGCCGTTTTTGACCCGGTTAAGGGTCAGGATGGCCCGAAAGACTATAAAAAGTTTAAGGAACTTTTGAGAGAGATTTGGGAGAGATTTCACATTCTTGGAGAGATTTCTCATACAAAGAGAGATTTGGGAGAGATTTCACATTCTTGGAGAGATTTCTCATACAAAGAGAGATTTGGGAGAGATTTCACATTCTTGGAGAGATTTCTCATACAAAGAGAGGTTTGGGAGAGATTTCACATTCTTGGAGAGATTTCTCATACAAAGAGAGTTTTGGGAGAGATTTCACATACTTAGAGAGATTTGGGAGAGATTTCACATTATTAAAGAGATTTATCATATAAAGAGAGATTTGGGAGAGATTTCACATTCTTGGAGAGATTTCTCATACAAAGAGAGTTTTGGGAGAGATTTCACATACTTAGAGATATTTGGGAGGGATTCTAAATAGAGAGAGATAGAGTGAAAACGATTGAGAGAGGTTTCGTGTGTGGCATTTGTGAGTGTCCGGCTTCGCCACGCAAGGTCCGTAACCCTGTTAAGCCTTGTTTAAGGATCTTACACACTCCCGATGAGTATGCAACATTGTTTTATCGGTTTGGCTTACCACGTACCACAGCTTTAGGTTAAGGAGATCTAGATGTTCGCACTTTTTGATTTATGATCTCTCATTAGAATAGCGAGTTGTTTAGTATTTACCTAACATAAACTCTAGTACCCACGTGCAAAATGAGTCGAAAGGTTTGACTTGTTGACTTCGGTTGACTTCGACTTGACCGAAACTTGACGGTTGTCACACAACAAATAAATCAAGATGGATCATCATGTACAAAGAGGGTCGATGATGACGCAACATCTCCTCCGTGGCATAACTTCCCTTCATGATGGAGCAAGATCATCTTCATAGCTCAACATCTCCTTGGCTCAACTTCACATTGGTACAACTTCAAGCATGATGGCGCAACATCCCTAAGGATGGCACAACTTCCTTCTACATGGTACAACATGATGCTCCATGTTGCTCCAAGTGCTCCATGTTGCTCTAAGTGCTCCAAGTGCTCCATGTTGATCCAAGTGCTCCAAGTTGCTCCAAGCCACTCCAAGTTGCTCCAAACCTCGTTTTGGAAGATCCATTCCTTCGTTACTTGATCCGTTTCTTTGTCAGATGATCCAAAGCAATCTTAGATGATCTCGTTCCTTTGTTACATGCTCTATAAACATCAAGTACTCCAGTAAGTTCTAAGTGCTCCAAATGAACTCAAAATGCTTCATCCAAGTGCTCCACTTGATTCTAAGTGCTCCATGTTTGACAAGACTTTATACCTCAACATTACATTTACCTAGGATTAAACATTTGTGGCAAGAAAAACCCTTTAAACATTAATTGAAATATTTTCATTATTTGGGTGATGGGTGATATTTACAGGGTCCAAGTTGAGTCAATCTGGTTAAGCTTGGTCGTGTGTGAAAACAATACAATAACTAAATCCATAGACATCATTTCTTATAAATGGACCAACATTTGGGGCTTAGATAGGAGCTTTTTTTTTGGATTCAATATTGCTAATGCATATCATCAACCTTATTAGCAAACTACCCAACTATATATCGTCGTCTTACATAATTCATAATGACATTAGATAGCACGACTATATGATTTGCCTAGTAGTCTATAGTTTAAAGATTTATAAATAAGCCTCTTATAATTATAGAATTGTTTAAAGATATAAGTTCGTATCAAATTATAATATAAAAATAAATATTTTTTTATTTTTTATATGTTTCGACACTATGTATTCAATGTTTTTTTATAATATTAAAAATGATATTTTTCCAAATATATTGAACATTGGTCTATATTTACTGTATGAAGCGGCTCTTTCTAGTAGTATAATTTATTAAAAATATTCAACTTTTATTATGTACTTATAACAAATTACAAAAAAATGTATAAAGTGTTAGTTTTATATAATCAAAAGGACTAATATGAATATATATATATATATATATATATATATATATATATATATATATATATATATATATATATATATATATATAAATTGGTGCATTTGTTTGCAATGATTTTTTGGTTTATGATTTTTTCAAAAACTAAAAAAATTCAAAAAAAATGTTTGGCAAGTAGAAAAGTTCGTTTTAAAAATAATTTTTGTCAAAAAAAAAATTATGTTATTTTTTAAAAATCAAGAAATTTTATGTTTTTGTAACTTTTATCCATTTAAAAGATAAATTACATTAAAAAAGTAAAAAAAAAAAAAAACAATTTTAAAAACAACTTTTATTTTTTCTCTTTGAAAAACTAAAGTTAAAAGGAACTTTTACAAAATAATAATTATAAAAAAAAAACGAGGATTAAAAATAATCTCCCATGGTCTATATCCATGGACCTACTGTAGTGGATGCTTAAGTGAGTTCCAGCACTAACACAATTCTCAGTCTACGTACCTTTTTCTTCTTATCTGCAAATTCTCATCTCTTCAAACCAAAGCCCTCAATCAAACGAATCTTTCGTTCCTCCAAATTCCAATGGCTGAAATAGTTGTTAGCGCTGTCATCACCGTGCTGTGTGAGAAGCTGATCTCTGGTGACTTGATGAAGCTCGCTCGTTCAGAAGGGATAGATTCTCAGCTGAACAAATGGAAGAAAAACTTGCCCATGATCCAAGCCGTGCTTGCTGATGCAACCCAGAAGCAGATTAAAGAGAGAGCTGTTCAACTGTGGGTGAACGATCTCCAGCATTTGGCTTACGACATTGACGATGTACTCGACGATTTGGCCACCGAAGCTCTGCGACGCAAGTTGAATCAAGAAGCTCAAGCCAGCTCCAGTAGTAGTAAGGTATTGAAGCTCGTCGCAAATTGTTGTACAAATTTCAATCCTCGCAACTTCATGTATGGTCGGAAGATGAGTTCTAAGCTAGATGAGATCACTGCCAAATTGCGTGATCTTGTTGACCAGAAAAATGATTTGGGTTTGAATGTGAATGTTGAATGGTCAAATATAAGAGAGAGGCAGTTGGAGCAAACTTCACTGGTTGATGAGTCCAAAATCATGGGTCGGGAAGGGGATAAAGAGGCCTTGATGGGGAAATTGTTGGGAAATGAAGGATGTAACCAGAATGTGAGCATAGTGTCGATAGTTGGAATGGGTGGGATAGGCAAAACCACTCTTGCCAAACTCTTATACAACCAGGAGAAAGTGAAAGATCACTTTAAAGTCAGGGCATGGGTTTGTGTTTCTGAAGAGTGCGATGTGTTTAACATTAGCAAGGCTATCTTCCAAGCAGTAACAGGTCAAAACAAAGATTTTGCTAATCTAGATCTGCTTCATGTGGCCCTCAAAGAAGAACTTTCAAAGAAGAGGTTCCTACTCGTTCTAGATGATGTCTGGAATGAAGATGACAGTAAGTGGGAACTCATACAAAGCCCTCTTCTTGTAGGGGCACCTGGAAGCAGAATTATTGTCACAACCCGGAGTACCAGAGTTGCATCAGTGATGGACTCGCAACAAACTTACCCTCTAGGCGTTTTGTCAAATGAAGATGCACTGTCATTATTTGCTCAACAAGCATTAGGAGAAAAAAACTTTGACAAGCATCCAACACTTAAGTTGCTTGGTGAAGGTATGGTTCACAAATGTGGAAGACTGCCTTTGGCTTTGAAAACGCTTGGTAGGGTCTTGAAGGAAAATCGAAATGGCAATAAATGGGAAGAGTTGTTGAAGAGTGAGATATGGGATATAGATGATGGAAATAAGATTCTTCCGGCTCTAAAACTAAGCTACTATCATCTCCCTCCACATTTGAAGCAGTTGTTCGCATATTGCTCCTTAATTCCCAAGGACTATGTGTTTGACAAGAATAAATTAATCCTATTGTGGGTGGCAGAAGGATTTTTGTCCCAATCAAAAGGAAACAAGTCAATGGAGTGTTTAGGTCATGAGTATTTTGAAGAGCTAGAGTCAAGGTCCTTTTTTCAACATTCAACGGATGGCAAGTTAGGATATACAATGCATGACCTGATAAATGACTTGGCCACAAGTGTTGCAGGAGAGTTTTCCTTTAGATTGGATGGTCAGGTGGATGTATCTGATATGGATGAAGCTTTTGATAAGTTTCGTCACTTTTCACTTGTAGGTCGAAGATCTGGATCATACAGAAAGCTTAATGAATTACTAAGAGCTAAACACTTGCGAACTTTCTTAGTCATGTCAGATGGTTTGGAGAACGACAGCTTTTTGGACAAGGTTCTTCTTGAACTACAATTCCTGAGGGTGCTAAGTGTCATGGGCTTGAATCACATGTACCCAAGTAATCACATAATCACAAAGGTACCAGAATCCATTGGTAGTCTCAAACATCTACGGTACCTTAATTTTTCTTGTACTAAAATCACATGTTTGCCGGAACAAGTGAGTGAGCTTTATAATCTACAGACCTTGTTGCTTCATAACTGTTATCAGCTATCTAGCTTGCCAGAAAGTTTTGCAAAGTTAATAAACCTACGACATCTTGGCGTACGTAATACTCCGAAATTGAACAAGATGCCCTCAGGGATCAGTCGGTTGACAAGTCTACAGACTCTAACCAAAGTCATTATTGACGAAGATAACAGGTTCAAAATATCTGACCTTAAGGGCCTTACTGATCTTCAGGGCCAACTTTCCATTATGGGTCTAGACAAAGTGATAAATCCAATACAAGCAAAGGATGCCAACTTACATCAAAAGCAGGGTCTTGAATCTCTCGAGTTGAAATGGCGTAAAGTCTTTGATGATTCGCGGGATGAGATGATCGAATATGAAGTACTTAAAGAACTAAGGCCTCATCCTAAGTTAAAATTCCTCAAGATTTTCAATAACAACGGAATGCGATTTCCCAGTTGGGTCGGGGATCCCTCGTTTGATCAGTTAACAGAGCTTACATTACATGGTTGTAGAAGTACACATCTACCAACACTTGGATGTCTAGGGTCTCTTAAAAAATTGATTGTTGAAAGGATGAGTGACGTGAAGACCGTGGGTTTTGAGTTACTTGCATCCACTGCTTCTTTCCATGGCATTGCATTTCCATCCCTTGAAGTTCTGAAATTTGAATATATGCTAAGTTGGCAGAGATGGTTGATTGATAGTGGTGACGGATATGAAACTCCTACATCATTTCCTCATCTTCATGAGATCTCTTTAAGATGTTGCCCAAAACTAGGTGAAGTGTCAATTGGATTGATACCTTCACTTCGGGTTTTATATATACAAGATTGCTCAAAAGCAGTGTTAAGAAGCATGGTTAGTTTGTCCTCGTCACTAGTTGAATTGAAAATGGGGGATGTTAAAGGACTTACTCAACTACATGGAGAATATTTAATGCATCTTGGGGCACTTGAAGATCTGGAAATTAAAAAATGTGATGAACTGAGATACTTGTGGGAACAAGAATCAGAGGCATGCAAGTGTCTTGTGAGTTTACAGAAGTTGGAAGTATGGGATTGTAAAAACTTGGTTTTATCAGCTGAGAAAGAGGATAATTTTGGGATCAGCATGGAATCACTTAAATCCGTGAAATTTTATAACTGTGAGACACTGGAGAGTTACAATTGTCCAAAAAGTGTTAAGAATTTAGTGATCAGGGATTGTGATTCACTAACATCTTTGACCTTCTCAGCAGTGCAGGAGCACCCATCCCCTATTACCGAATCAATAGTTAGTGATTGTGATAACATCTCTCCAGAGAAAGACTTCGGTTTTCTCCCCAGGTCACACCTAACATCTCTTGAGATCAGTGGTTGCAAGAATCTAAAGTCATTTCCTCATGAGCATTTTCAAAATCTCACATCTTTGGTAGAGCTGATAATACATGATTGTCCAAGTATGGATGACTCCTTCCCCTGTGGGGTGTGGCCTCCTAATTTGACCGTACTAATGATAGGATGCTTAAATAAGCCCATGTCAGAGTGGGGCCACCAGAATTTTCCAACCTCACTAGTCCAACTAGGGTTATATGGCAAAGACTCGGGAGTGGTTTCATTTGCAGTGGTAGATGATGTGGGGAATACTACTACTCCTTCATCCTCATCATCTTTTCTTCTTCCACCATCTCTTGTTTCTCTAAGGCTTGTTGGTTTTAAGGATGTGGAATCATTTTCAGATGTCTTACCACACCTCCCCTGCCTTAAAAGACTTGATATTTTCAATTGCCAGAAGATTACAGATCTTAAGACCATTTAAGACCCATCAAATGTGACAATTTTGGTGATGTAGTAGAAAAGGTTCGGCATCTCCTTTCCAATCATCTGTGTCTTTACATAAGATTATTCATTTCAATGATGTTATTATAATCATTGTTTCTTAACAAACATGAAAGAGGGTTCTACAGCTTGTATCCCAAAGTATTACGTCCCATCTCTTACGATAAACATCACAGCTTTTTTTTTTTTTTTTTGATAAATGTGATCTTCCTTATAAAGTAAGATTTCAATTTCTGTGTATTTTTTTTTCAATAACTATCCCAAAGTATTAGGAACATTAATTTTGTGACTTGTTTGTTTTGGTTTGTTGATAATATTATTTTTATACTGAACTAACAATCAAAACTAGTACAAAAATAAGAGAACTATAACTGCAGTAGCTGAATAGGTTTTTGGTTTTTGTAGAACCTTTACCATTAACTTGCTATGTATATTTGTTGCAACTGTATATTTTTATCTTCATTGCACCACTTCTTTGTGTATTGTATTCCTTTTCGTTGTCATGTTGTACTTTTCGTTAATCTTGGCTTCGAGTGACCTTGTGCATTGTTGAAAGAATTACTAGAAATCATAACAAAATTGTTTAGAGTTTGGACTTTTTCCAGAAACTTTGACATTTTATTTGTGTATTCTAATATACTCTATATATACATTATAAAATAGAAAACAAAAGGTAAACAGGTAAATAAATCAAATTGATGAAAAATAAAGTTAAAAAATGAAAATAAATAAAGTATATACAAAAAAGAAAATAAAAAATGTATATATATTTATAAAAAACCCGAAAATAGATAAAGTATACAAAAACGAAAAATAAAGTTAAAAAATAATGTGGTGTAATTTTTTCCAAACCTCAGGGACCAATATGAACATTTTATAACTGATTTTGCAAAAAATTTAACCAAGTTAACCATAAAACTCGTTAAGTGGGCTAGAGTAATAATTCTATGAAAAAGTTGTGGCCATAGCAATAATAAAAAAAATATTAGGGTTTTTTCCAATTACGGGTTAAAAATTTAGGACTTTTATAATATTAACCCTTTATATAACTTCAGATTTCTTTAAAATTTGTATCAGTTTTTAGGTTAGAAATAAATCCATTTGACATTAATACTTTTTCTGTTTTGGTAAAAAAATATGGTCAAACTGTGTATAGCATGACTAATTGTCTTTTTGTGTGTCTATTCCCAGTATAATTATTGATCAGTATGTTAAGGACAATGTAAACATCATGACAACTTATTCGTTGTCATTAGTGATTAATTATAGAGATTGTTTATAAAATCATATTTCTATAAATTATGAGTTTATTCTTAGGAAGTTGCTCAATTTCTACAGGTGCACGTTCGATCAAGGCTGTCTACATGACGTCAGCGAAGGCAAATAAAGAATCAATGAGTTTCAAAAAAGGCATTATTTAAAAGGGAAAAAAGATATTGACGGAACTGCCCCTGCACTGTTGACAGGAACCATTTCTGTTATCTTATTATACAGACAGGTTGAAATAGACACATGCATTTGAATGAGCATATTGACTATTTCGAAAAGCATTACCTGATATTACTAAGATTTGATTTGAAAGTTTGTAATAAATCTTGTTTTAAATAGAATGCCATTTCAAGTACAATTCCCATATACATAATGGACAATTATGCCCCTAGCCATAAACAGATGCAGTTCCTATTTTGATTTCAAGTACATCTACCTCCACCCCCATTTGGTTAAATACAAGAGAAAGCAATATACTTTATAGACTATAAAATGTTTACAACGAAATAGATTGGTTCATCCTTCCAAGAAACGATGATGATACATGAAGATGAGAAACACAAACATAAAAAGATATTAGTTTGATCTAATTCATTAAGCAATGGAGATAAACCCAATTCATAAATAAAGAAAAAGAAATTTAAGATAAAAGGGCGAAAATGCCCTTTACCCAGATTTTCCATATTGTACAATTCTTATGGTTGTAATACACAAATTATAAAAGTAAAATAAAAATATGATGCTCTATGACCACAACGACTTTTTTGACCATAATAACTTTTTGAATTAACTTGCATCGCATATGATATTATTAAGATTAGATATGAAAGTTTGTAAAAAATATTTTTTTAATTACAATGCCATTTCAGGTACAATGCCCCTAATTCACTACAAAAAATATGTCATTTAGTGGCACATAAAAAGTGTCACTAAAACCCCAAAAAATGCCACTAAAGGTCACTTGGAGAATCCGCAACACAAATAAGAAGTGCTGCTAGAAACGCTCCTACTAAAACCCTTTAGTGGCACTTTTCGGTTTTGATGCTGCAACATTTTGGAACTTTAGTGACACTTTGTTGTTTGTCACTATAGAAAATAAGTTTTTTGTGGCATATATTATGTGCCGGTAAATACTAACTCACTTCTAAAATTTATGTTCTTTTAGTGGCATTTTTTTAGCCGCCACAGTATAATAAAAAAAAATTATTACACATATTTCATGTCCTTAATTATAATGTGATTTTAGAATTATACTATTAATATCAACAAATCTTTTGGTGATAATATAAGAAAATAGCTAATTAAATTATAATTCATGAAAAATAATAAAAAATTCATTGTTATACATCAATGCCAAATTAATTTAAATATAGAACTACATAGACACTAAATATAAAAATAAAATAAACAAACAACTTTTTTAACTTCATTGCAGTTGAATTTATTCCCAAACTTCATGCTATCTTCAATAACCTCATATAGAACCAACGCTAGCAATTCTCTGTCAAATTCAAAAATAAAAATGTCCAAAGTTTTTTTATAATTTCACTAGCATATTATTTAGCTCTTTAAAAACAAAAATGAGATATTACAGTAATTTTGATAATATCCAGGCTGCAAGATATGTATGGATATTTTAGTACATACCTGACATATAGTTGTTTTACAATTTAATCAATAGTGTGAAAAGAGCCAGGTTCAAAAACTTCTCCATGCTTAGCAATATCTATATGGATTTATAAAGTTAAACATTTGACTCTTAAATATCAAATACAGACTTTTTTAGGACAAAAAGTGATAATATTACCTTTCAAACATCCACCCTAAGTAAACCTAAATCATAAAATTTATTAAAATTTTAGTATCTTTAATGAAAAATATATATTTATAAAAAAACTTACATCATGATAATATCCAGGCTGCAGATAATATGCAACTGTTGCCTGAATGATACAAATAGTTTTCAGTTATGAAAACAACCAAAGATATAAAAGCACTTTATACAAAATATAACAAGGAAAATAAAAACAGATACATCATCTTGTATTCTGGTTTGAACCACCCTATGCAGATCTGCCTGAACCATCCTGACCTCCGCCAATCATCAGTAGACCCATTACCTTGTGTATTGTAGTTATCGTCATCATATCATCATGTAATTGGTCAAATTGTGAATCATAAGCCCCTCGATTCCTACCTCTCCTGCATAAATCATGCTTTGAAGCAATGTCGTTATTCAATGACTCAAATAACTAACCAGAAACAATGATTTCACATAATATAGATTAGGAGCTAGTTTATGTTCGCACATGTCGACTAAAATTTCCTAGTAAATGTCAATTTCCAATACATATATCAACTATTTAAGATAATAAATCCACATCAAGTTGAAAAAAAGAATGAAATTAACAAGGAGGTTGAAGGGCTTACCAGTTTCAACAGTTAAAGAGGAGAAATATCCATCTGGAGTGCTATTCTGCCTGATGAGATTTGAATTAATTGAATCTAAAGCTCTGAAAGACGATGCACAAAAAAATTACCGTTGATTTGGATAATCATAACTATCGAAGTTCGACAGTCTCTGTGAATTGCAACTGTGCATCACAGTCATTGATGGATGTGAAAGATCCTGGTTATAAATCAGTGTTTCTCTCCCTTCTTGCTTTACAGGCATTAACGATGGCAACGTATAGTCTAGAAAGTCAAGGAACTCATGTTAATAATATTCATATTTCTTTTGTTGCTTGAAGAGCCTTTACTTCGGCTCCTGATTCGAGGCGACAATCACATGATCCATAAAATCTTCATCTTCGTTCTCGTTGAGAAGATTCGAACAAAAGAAGCTCAGAGAAGAGAGATAACACAATAAGGAGCTCTAATTCTCATCCTGTTGATTTTGATTTCGAGTTTGCTCATCATAATTCGGATAAGGATCCAATGAAAAAATTGTCTGATCTTGGCAAACTCGCTGTCGGCCTGGATGTATGAGATGTGCTTTTAAATGCGAGCAATTAGGGTCTAAGAATTGGGGAAACATCATATTTTATATATCAACTACTAGGTTTAAACCCGTGGAAATCCACGGATGATAAATTGAAATATAATTATAGTTTTTAATTTGTAACAAAAAAAAGATATGAAAGTTTAGAAAAAATGAAGAATAGTGATATTAGACAATTATAATATGCGTTTTTCCAGGTGAGTATTCATATAAAATATTTATTTCCTTAATTAAAACAACAAAAGATATATTTTTATTTATTTTTCCAATTTGCATAACTTTTTTTATTGATTTAATAAAGTTGCATACCAAATTGTTAGGCTGTTACGATTTCACCACCTAAAATATGTATATTTGTATTATAATATATTATCTTGTTAGTATTTCATGAATGCAATCAATAACACTGCTTTGAATGCGAAGTTGGATTTAGCTTTGCTATAAGTTTCAATCGATTTTGAAATTGAGTATTGTTCGCATTTGTATGAGTGTAGTCGATGAATCGATAAAGCAAGAATATATGAGTTTTGATTCGCAATTGGATTGATGATTGAGGGATGATTCGTGAAGAAAAACGCAAAGTCAAGGACTGTGAAATTGTTGTTTGCAAGAATTTAAAAACTCGATTGTGGAGTTGTTGATGCTCATTTTGCGAAAGTAAAACAATCGAGTGTTTGCATCTGTGAATCAATTTGAAGTCAATTGGGTTAATATTCGCATATGGGTTCAACATATGAATTTTTTATTTCGCAAGTTTAGAGTTCAAGAACTAAACTGTGTTCGCATCTGGAATGAAAATTTTGTGGTTCACATTTGATTAATTAGGTTAAAATGCCAAGGTGATTAATGCGAAGGGATGCGAAGGGTGTAAGAATGAAGATGCGAAGTATTTCACAGTAAATATGTAAAATTGGGGAAGAAAACAGAAATTTTCAAATATTGTCCCTGGAGTTTCGCATTTTTGGAAATAAATACTCAACTTCGCAAATGGGGGTCATAAAATGATGAAATTGCAGAATTTTTAAACAGATACACACACATAGACAACCATACATATATTTAGAATAAATTATTTAAAAAAAATGTTACAAAAAAACAGAAAAAAAAAACATAATTGTTAGAATTTAATGGGTAAGAAGCAGTTATAAATTCCTAAAAACTTCCTTATACACAACATTTGAAGTTTTGTTTGTAAGTCTACCATCCTTATCTAAAATTAACAATTTCAGTCCTTCTCTACTTTGAACTCTAGATAAGGCAACATACAGTTGTCCATGTGAAAAAACAGGATCCTTGAGATACAGACCAACCTTTGATAACGACTGCCCCTGACTTTTATTAATTGTCATTGCAAAACATACAGCCAATGGAAATTGTCTTCTTTGAAATTTGAAAGGAATTTTTTTTTCAGATGGACTTAAAGACATTCTTGGAATAAATGTTTGCTTTCCGATATTAGTTCCAGATATTATAATTGCCTCAATAACACGTTTGCCAAGAGATTTCACTTGTAGTCTAGTGCCGTTACATAATCCATTTTTTTGATCAATGTTTCTTAGTAACATAACTGGAACACCGACTTTTAGAATTAACTTGTGATTTGGCAAACCTGATACCTTAAGACCATTTAAAATATCAGGGGAGTATAAATTGGGATCAAACTGATCATGAAAAAACTCGGATTGGCAAAGAGTATCTGAACTTAAATATTCTACTTCTTCTCCGGGAAACAATGCTAACAAACGATCATTGATTTGTTGGACAACTTCATTTTTTGGAGCTAGTATAGCTCTTTCTTGAAAATAACTCGTACCGTTGAAGTTTTCCAAGATTGAAGGATATACAAACTCAATTAATGAACCTATAGGATCATGTGGATCACTAATGAGAATATCATCCGGAACATCAATAATCGTTTCACCATCGTTCAAACCACCAACTTTTCCTTCTCCTATGTCCAAAAGCCAGTTTGCAAAATTTTGTATTTTTCGAATATCAGATGGATCCTTTCCAACGGTTAGTCTCATGTTTTTTTGTTAATCTATGGACTTTGCATTGTTGCCATATATATGAAGAGCTTAAAGAAGCATTAACGATATTTTGTCTGCTACCTCCTTGAACAACAGGTAGAATTTGCCTGAAGTCTCCTCCAAAAACAATCGCTTTCCCTCCAAATGGAATATCTGAGTTGGTAGA